GGGATTTCGGCAACCATGGTGATGTCCATGATCGGTGTGGTGTGGTACATTGTCTCAAGGTCGGTCCGGCTCATGAAGGTAACCCATGTTGGTGATGGGCTGCCATTGACAATCACCAGTCTCACTGGCTGAACTGTAGGGTGCCAGTCGGGGTCAGTGCGGAGCGGGAGAGCCTCGCCGGGTTCTCCCATGTAGATGGGCCCGTTGACAACGGACGCGTCTTGGGTAGGTTCTTCATCAGGCTCTTCGTTGTCCTTCGTCTCATTGTTGGACACTTCTTGACTTAGGGCGATCATGTCGATGCCGCTCTCGGTTGCCGAGAACATGAAGACGGCTACGTTGGAGTGGTCGTCCTTCCCGTCGGGCCAGTGTCCTTTGAGGTTCGGCCGGCCGTTCTCGCGGGCCTTCTTGCGGAACTCGGACTGCCAGTGCCCTTCCTTGCCGCAATAGTCGCAGGTGCCCTTGGCCGCGGAACGGTCGTTTTGTTCAGCTTGGCCGCTTCGGGACGCGCCACGGCCCCGGCTACGCCCACGACCACCGTTTCCTTGGTTGTCGCGTCCGAACAAGGCGCGGACTTCGTTGGCTTGGCCGCGTGGCGTCTTGATGGCGCCGTTCCCGACGGCGGCCTTCCTCTCAGCTTCGAGTGCGATCTTCGTCTTGGCGACGGTTTGTTCGCTGTCGGGTAAGTTGGGCAAGCGATCGACGAGGTGGCGGAACTCCCACAGCATCAAGGCAAGTAACTTGACCACTTGATTTGACTCCGTCTCTGCGGCTCTAACGTCTAATAGACGCTGGACAAGGATCTGGAACCGGTAGATGAAGTCCGGCAGAGTCTCTTACATGGGTCCCACGACAGCTTGGCCCACTCCATTGCCACCTGGATTTGGTCGACCTTCGTTGTTGGCTTATGTTGGGCTACCAGTGCGTCGTAGGCGATGCGGACGCGTGTGTGCCCATCGATGTATCGGTACTGGCTGGGCTTCAAGGTGTCGATGAGGATCCCGAATGCCTTTTGGTCCTCGCTGCTGGCGTCCAAGGCAGTTGACGTCGGCATTTGGGTAAGGAGTTGATGCATGCCCTTCATCATGAGCTTTCCGCGAAAATAGGTGTCCCATTCGCGGACACCTATTTTAACGGTCGTTCAGCTTGAGCGTGGCGGTGATGTTCGCCGTGGTACTTCTTGTTTGTAGGTGCCTTGTGTTGGGCTCAGAACCTCTTGAACTGACGTGTTTTGTAGTAAGGTCGTCGGTCGAGGAAGACAAAGGCAGCAGGCGGTTAGCCGGTGACTTAAGACCAAGAAGGGAAATCGACAAGTGAATTGATCCTTTAATAGACTTGTTTTGCTACATCCAGTTCTTCTCTTACTTGCGCATGCATGACGAGCTTGCAGCTCGCCCTTCAACGCCGCTATTCGGCCATTGGTGTTCATCATCAATGCAACTATGCAAACACAATCCCCGCCATGACCTTTCGTCACCCAGTTCTTTGTTTCCGGATCCGGTGGTTGCTTGGACTTCGGATCGCGACAAACTTCGACAGCCGTCGCCCTCTACTTGCACGCCAATTAGGGAGCCCGTGACAACGGAGCGTTCACGACGACGGTGGACACCAAGACGCTGAAGCTGGAACATAAGAACTGCGGCGACGTAATGGACGCGACCCCACATCAACCACAACTGTCAGTTTCGTCGCCGCAACATTGCTCGTGCGGCGGATGATAGCCCTTCGTCCCCTGTTACCCACCAGTACCCCGAGGAACTACCAAGTCTCGCACGACATGCCACTCCCCCCACGATCTCTCCCTCGACGTCCCGTACCGCGCCGCCGAAAAGGACCACCGGGGTTCATGGCAATGCAATAGGTACAGTACAATGTTGGACTTCGTAGTCAGCGCGCCGGACGGGCAGCTGGACGAAGGGTTGTTCGTTGGGTCTTTCTCGACGGCTTAGACTGGTTGGTCGTCGTGTCGGGGTGCCACCGAACAATGCTCGGTTGAATCGTAGATGTTCTGACTGGAGCATCCGCCCCGAAGTCACATACCATGGGTTTGGTACGATGAGCCCACCTGAATCTTGCTTTCCCAGCTTCCAAAGTCGTTAGATGCTGCGTCGCTGCTTCGAAATCCCGGGTGTATTGACCCCTGACGGAGAGATAGGCTGTAAATGGAGACAGAACTCACGGGAGTCAAAGGATATGAAAGCGATCACGGATGGAGTGATAATTGAACTGTCGACGCAAAAGGCTACCGCTTCAATCGACAGCACTTTATACGTACTGGCAGGATGTTGCGTAAAACTACATGCTAAGCAGCCTGTGCTCGTTCAAGATGGAGCATGCTAGGCGATCAACAATTCTTCTCATACCCCAGCAGCATGACCAAGGATCAAGTGTCGAGCCAAGGTGTACACACGCTTTGGCAAGATCACGGTCATCTATACAACCGACGCAGGGATCTTAGGCACCACAAGCCGACATTTCGCCGTCTGGTGTCGCTACTTTCTGCATTTTGGGTGGAGTGCCTACATGGGACGCACCGTTCCCGAGCTGTGTGCTTTTAGCTGCGTGTTGGCACTAGGCAGCACTAGGCAGCGTCTCTCGGGTGCTTGCTCGAACAGGCACCACAACAACTACAGCAAGCTATTGCTAGATGCTGTTGTAGCGGAGAGCCGTTGGCACAACTGTCAACCACCGTCGTTTCAAGCTAGCCATGGCACATAGTGGACTGACGACGACCTTCGACGGGACGGTGGCGATGCCATCGCCGCAGGAATCCGACGCGCTCGCGTGATTGGTTCGAAATCTCATGTGGAGAATGCACCAATGAAACGCACTCTTGCCAGTTTCGAACCATCATAATTCCATCTGCCAATTTGCAATTTAATAGCTTAATATTTGTATGGATTTACCTTTTTTGATTAAATTGTCATCGTCGACAGCTTATTTAAATACAGCACCCTGGCTTCCTTCGCCATTGGAATTTTGACCTCTCCTCCCTCATGCCGATCGACATCAACTTGCTGCGCGTGGAACGCGGCGGTAACCCGGAACTCGTTCGTGAAAGCCAGCGCAAGCGCTTTGCCGACGTCGATCTTGTCGACCGCGTCATTGCGCTCGATGAAGCGTGGCGCAAGAAGCAGGGTGACTTGGAAACCGTCAAGATGAACATGAACCGCCTCCAAGCGACCATCAAGGACTTGTACAAGGCAAAGAAGAAGGATGAAGCGCAAGAGTTGGTCGAACAGCGCAAGAAACTGGAGGAATCCGAACCTGCATTGAAGTTGGAAGCGGACGCCCTCAAGGAAGTCGTGGACCGCGAATTGTACAAGATTGGCAATATTGTGGACTCGTCCGTCCCGATCTCCCAGAACGAAGACGACAACGTTGTGACGGGAACATGGGGCACGTGCCGCCCGCATGATGACTCGCTGCATTACCACCACGAAGTTCTCCATCGCATTGACGGGTACGAGCCGGAAAAGGGCGTGCAAGTTGCAGGCCACCGCGGGTACTTTCTCAAGGGTTATGGCGTCATGCTGAACCAAGCGCTGATCATGTACGGCCAGCAGTTCCTAATGAAGCGCAAGTATACGCTCCTTCAACCTCCCTTCTTCATGAACAAGGACGTCATGGCCGGCGTTGCGCAGTTGAGCGAGTTCGACGAAGCCCTGTACAAGGTCACGGGCGCCGACGCGAACGACGAAAAGTACCTCATTGCGACGTCCGAGCAGCCCATGTGCGGTTTTCACAAAGGTACGGCATGCATCTGGTATTCTTTATATCCTGTGATCGGTTTTAAA